ATATATATATGTAAAAAATATAGATATATATATATATATATATATGTGTAAAATATAAATATATATATATGTGTAAAATATAAATATATATATATACATATATATATGTGTAAAATATAAATATATATATTTTTTTAAATATATCTATTTTTACATATGTAAAAAAATATATATATATTTATATATTTTTTTACATATATATATTTTTACATATGTAAAAAAAAATATATAGTGCCAGTTCATAACAGAAGTTATCTCAGGACACTTTTCAAATAGAGCAGAACTAGACCGAACTCCTTATAACATTATTTACAGAGACCCAACAGCAAGATAACTAAACAGAAAAAAAGACGTAATCAGATTACAGTTGCATTTAAAAAAGAATGGGGATTATTTAGCAGGATTACAATTTTAATCAGTTTTTCTTTAAAGAAACACTTTTTTTAAATGCTAAAAATCGTATGATTGATGATCAGGATACCAAAAAACTTAAAGAAATACATTTTGAGCAGAGGATTTCCTGTTTAGGGAATTTTTATACAATTCTCTGTCTGTATTATATATTTTTTAACAATCATACACATTTAATAGGCCTCTTTTTTAGGGGCAAATCCAGTGTTTTCTTCTCTCTGAGACAATTTACTTATTTTTCTCCCCAGAAACGAACCAAATGCTGAGAAATATATCTACTATGTGTATTTCTAGGCCCTTGTTATGTTTCATGTGAAGGTTTTATTTTGAAAGTCAAAAAAACCGGAAGTGATTCTTTTTCCTCTCCATTCTGTCAAATGGTGTCAAGATGGCGATGCACATGAGGAGGACGCTGGTGGCTCTTCATAGATCAGCATGCAGCAGTTTAAAGGTGTGTGTGTGTGTATTTAACAACTCTTTTATATGCAGACAGGTGATGTGTTGCAGACGCAGCTCGTTTGTTTTGCAGAGTCCTCACTGAGCCTCCTGTGATACAAACACCTTCATGTGTCCTTCTTCCTCTCAGAATGAAGTGTCTCTGGATGTGAGACATCCTGGCCCACTTTTCCTGCCGGTCCGGACCAAGAAGCGGTTCTTTGTCCCTCCTGCAGCTGGGTTAAAGGGGCAGAGGGAGCAGGACAGTGAGGCCAAGGCCCGAGCAGCAGGCCTGGTGGTCAGACAGCAGTACTTTGAGAGGCCCATCAACATCGCCTGCACTGGTAATCATGTTTTATGGGTTGTTGTTGTTTTTTATTTGCAGGCACATGTGAAGTTATTGGTCTCCTAGTTTCAAATGGTTGAATGTTAAGACTCAAAAGTGTCAGAGATTGAGTGGGGAGTTATTATGGAACGATGAGGATGATGATTGGTAGGTTTCTTTTAACAGAAATGTGTGTTGATCAAAATATATTTATAGCTTGGATATAGCACTGTATGGAGTGTGGGGCTAGTAACTGGAGTTGCTGGGGAGTTTTCACCTCCTGTGCTCTGCCGATGTGCCCTTGAGCAAGGCAACCTAACCCCTAACTGCTCCTCGGGCGCTTAGTCTGCCCACTGCTGCTTAAAATAAGTTAAATGCAGAGGCCAAGTTTCATTTTATGTCTGTAGAAGTGCTGTAAATGGTGTATATATACTGTGAATATGACAATAAAAAGACTTTCCTCTTCTTCTTCTGTGGGATAAACACCTGTGTGCTGCGTTAGCCTAGCTTAATATCGGTAACCTAGCATCTCACATACAAGTGCTATACACTATATAAAACTGAAACAAACGTTACGGCAAAAAGACCAACATTAGTGACCTGTACAGAGTGAGATTTGCGCCCCTGTTTAGCGTTTTTACCACATTTTAACACTACTAAGGACAGCACTGTGCAGTCCTACCTCTCCTCAACAGCGCCTGCAGCAGACTGAGGAGGATAGCAAGAACTCACAGGAAGTGACAGTGGCAGTGTCAAAGGTCACACAATAAAAATACTATTAACAAAATAAAATGGAAGTGATTAACGTGGGGAGTGAAGGCTGGCCTGTGTGGTCAGATCCAACAGACTGAAACGTTAGGATGCTGTTGGTAGAAATGTGTCAGAAACCAGTGCACAGCAGTTTGGTTTGGTTATGGGGCTGCGAACATTA